AACCAAAATTATCCACTAATTAAACTAATATGTTAGTAAACCTATTCCACATAAACATAATAAACAATTGTTATCATGAATTAATCCACGCTCTCCCAAACATAATTGGTAATACATGCAAATTAACAAAATGAATCAGACCCTTTGTAACCAATGTAGAAAATATCACCTCAATGCGCTATTAGACACCGTAAGTGCAAATTGACCTTTATTATATTTAATTTTTTTATTATTAATTGAGTATAAAAATGTCTTTGTAACGTCAAATTTCACCATGAAACCAGTCTCGAAATGGGATTTGAAACTAATGTCTTTACGTGTAGTTGTAAGTATATTGGTTTTTTGCAGAAATAATACCATTTATTTATTATCTCATCTTCTGTTTATTAACTTTGAAAGCGCAAAAAATGTATTCAACACTGCATCAGTTTTCCATGGAACGAAGCAATTTCGGACTCACTTGATTCATCCAATGTTACAGGATCTTGCAAACGCAGTGACTGGACATCCTATTACTATCTATATACATCCATATGATATGCCAAATCAACATACGTTTTTTATCCGTTTTTTCTTTGTAACATTAAAATGCAAATTGTTTTTCAAATATAGAGGCGAGATTTATCTTAAAGCCAGCGCATCTCAAACCTACAGGTCGATGGTTTTTGATAGGTGTGGCCCCTTTAATGAATATTCATGAATATGATGAATATGATCATTAGGAATGATAGAATTGTCCAATGGCTATTGGATCTTTTACATGCCTCGTTATTTGAAAGACCACGTGAAAGGATATTGGAGCAGTCGTGAACTCCCTTAAAGATACACCTACAAAATTTAATCATGATGACTACGAAATTATGAGATGTTTGCATATGACTTTTTCACACACATGGTAAAGTTAATTGCTGAGCTCTTGTACTTGCTAAATAAATTATCTTGTTTGCAAATAGGACTAGATATACAAGTATGGGGAACAGGTTTACCTGTCTCGAAGGTTCATTAACAAATATGTAAATTATGTTTCTACTTGATTAATAGTAATAGTAATCTTTCCACAATCAACATTATATACACATTATGTATGTGATTTATTTCCTTTATTCCTAACTCCTTTACCTGAAGAGCCTGAAACTACTTACTATATTAATAGATTGATTAATTGATGAATTAATATTTAGCCTGCCGTTGTTGAAAAGTTTTGATGATAAATAATATTTGATTTTATTTTTTTAAATTGACAGACAATTAAATAATAATTTAAAAATCTTTGAAACCGCAAAATTAATCGGTCATTGTCAAAACTTTATGATCTCATTAGCAACCCCCAAAGTTATTTATTTATAATTTGAAAATAGTAAAAAAGATTAACCAGAATTCTTTAAATGATTAATTTCCAAAAACACCAAATTTATCATCTTTCCTTCTGTAAATCTAATAACTCTCCTTGTTTCTAGTTTTTTTAAAAAAGGGGGTGGAAAAATTAAAGTGAAAAAAAAATATATACATAATATTTATATACATTAATGCTAAAATCTTGAATTAACAACTATTAATTAAAACATTGATTTGTTTTTTGCATAAAATAATAATTATAAAATAATTTGGGGGTGCAGATTGAATTATTCTAAACTGTATCACTACCCGAAGACTCGGAACCAGAAGATGCCGAGCTTTGGCTATCCGAAGAATCATCATCAGAACTATCATTTGCCTCTATATTAGCTGAATTAAATAAAATATAAATAAATTTAATAGAACTTTTTTTTTTTTGAAAAAAAAAAAATTAAGTATACCGTTAGAGGTTATGGATTTGTTGTCAAATTTAGCCAAAGTTTCTTCCAAAGCTTTTATTTGTTCTTCTTCGCTTATCTGGTTTTTTCTTTTAACAGGTATTTTTCGTTTTTTACGACCATTTGGTTCGGAAGTATTTGCCATTACAAAATTATAAATTTTTTTAGCAGTTTTAGTGTCAATAGACTCAATTTCTAACTCGTAACCACCTTCTTCAGGCATCAACGTTGCTCCACTCTGTTGTATCATACTAATGAGCGTAACCATGAGTTCTTGAGGAAGATATTCAATCCTTTTAGAAAGAAGGGCCTTTTGATCAGCAGTAAGTTCCTTATCATCATCTTCTTTAACAATGGTCTCAATCTCAGCTTTTGAAATTCGTCGACGTTTTGCTTTTGGCATTGCATCAGTCAATGCATCAGCATCAGACTTGGATTTGGATTTAGTGGGTTTTTTAGTAAGCTTTTTAGTAGGTTTTTTGTTTTTAGCTTTTCCTGATTTTCTATATTGATTCAGTTGGGATGATAAAGCAGCAAGATGTTTTTGCAAAGCCTTCAAATGTTTAGCTGAATAGAAATGAAAAAAGATTCTTATTAATATATTATTTAGTTATTTGTATAACATCAATAATTATTTTTTATGATGTAAATAATACCTTGTTCGCTTTCTTTGTCTGAGGCAGATTCTTCTTCTTCCTTGATTCCCTCCCGAACAGTTGGAGAAAGCTGTGGAATTGGTCTCTCTGCCCATTTTTTATCAAAAACCTTTTCTAGTTGTTTACCCATGTTATAAACATCAGTACCAGGAGCATTGAATTTGTAACAGTTGTCAAACATTAATCGAATGTCCGCTTCAAACTCTTCTGCAGAAGTGTATTCTTCTTTTTCCAATTTATTATAAATTGTGGAGAGATCCATGGGGTTTTTGATTATGTTAGGATATTCAGGAATGCCCAATTTCTCAGCGTCAACCGGCTCATAGAACGGGTAAGCATATGCAGAGTGTTGTCGTTTTTTCAATTCCAAATACACTGAGCGACAGAATTTAAGGTCGATATTTTTCTTGGTTTTTTTACGACGGGATGGTTGAGTGATTTGAGGAAGTTCTTTATTAGGGAACTTGATCATTCTTCTTGGTCTATTCGCTTCATTATTTTCGGCTTTTACAGCGGAAGAAGAAGCTGCAGAGGAAGAGGACGCAGCTTCCATAGTGGATTTGACGGTTGGTTTGCTTATTGGTTTGTTTGTTGATTTAGTAGAAGATTCTGCAACAGGTTTAGGTGCTGGTTTCTAGTCATTAATTATTAATTGTGTTGATTGTTAATTAGATCAAAAATAAGTTACATTAGTATAAATTAATAAATAAATTGATGTGAATATATATAGTTTTTTTATTTATACGTAAATTATTAAATTTACCTCTTCTTTAATTACTGGAGCAGGCTTATCAACAGTGGTAATTTTAGCACCAGGCATTTTAGAAAGTTGTGCGGTGAATATTTCTTCTAAATCTTTAATGAATTTTGAAAACGGATGTCGTTCACCATTATAATCGATACAATTTGAGAATATGAGCCGAACGTCATTTATAAAATCATGGACACATTTGTAATCATAACCGTTAAGTTTTTTTTCAACTGTACTAAAGTCCATTGGTGTTTTTACAATATCAGGATAATCAGGAATATTAAGTTTAATCGGATCTACAGGTTCTAGGAAAGGTGCAGCAGACGGGTGACGCTTTAATATTTTGAGTGCACTTGTGCAATATTTATTGTGTTCCCTGGTCATCGCTTCATTAAACCAACTAGTGTTAAACCTATAATAATCAATAAAAACATTAAATAAATATTGTATATATATTGATAATGATTGATATTCCAAGATAAATTAATTTGCTTTGGCTAGAATTTAGAATATAATAAATAGAAGGTGATCAAATTAGAAACTAAATAAAAAACATGCTTTTGGTGACGTGCATATACGCAGATAACGAAAAATAATCATGTGTGTGTGGGATTTAATAGGATAATCATAAATTTAAATAAGGTAATTGAAATAGATGTACAAAAAAATAACCAACGATGCTAATATAGACTATTCGTTTGGTGCTATTCAATAAAATATTATACTTTGCATATTTTTCATTATTGTTAAAGCCTGATTGTTCTTGAGTGCTGTTGTTTTTCTTTGGCCGAGGCATGTTGAAAGATGGTGTTGACTTTATAAGAGAGAGAGAAAAAGGGAGGGAGAGAAAAAAGAAAGAGAAAATTATATTATATTATATTTTCTTGGGACGATTTAATAGAGATATATATGAAATCAACTATTTACTGTTTTTTTCTATTCCAGAAAAGTTGCAAGAGATTTATTTTGAAAAAAAAAAAAAACTTTATTTTTAAATTTAAATTTTTTGATAAAAATCGTGTAACCGTCTGACGCAATTATTTGTAAAAAGGAAGATCATCACATCTTTTTTCTTTGGGAAAAAAAAATTTTTTTTTCTTTGAATTTCTTTACAAGTTGTTTATTTATTTGAGGAAAATAAATCCAAATCAAGAAAGTATCCGCACGTACAAATATATATATATATACATGGAAACAAACACTTTTTTGAATAAAAAAGAATTTCATAAATAATTTCATAAATATTTATAATAATAATAATAATAATAAATATAACAAAATCATGGGAATTGTAGTCTCTCGTTTCAAGTCACAAAAGGATGATAATTATGAAAAAATATTATCAGAACTTGATGACAACATTCGTAAAGCAGAAATATCCCTGGGTGAAATAAGAGTACGAGAGCGTAATGCATTAATAATCTGGATAGTCTATTCATTATTAGCATATATCGCATATGTGATAGGATATTGGTACTTTATTTACATGTCTAATGAGGGAGAAAATTGGGACTTTATGAAGGTGGCGCCTGTTTTAACAGGGCCTTTTTTCATAGTGATTGGTTATAGGTTTCTTGCTTTGTGGTATAGAAGAAAAGAAGCCAATGAAATATCTCAGCTTGAAAGTTTAAGGGCCCAACAAAGTCTTAAAGTGGAAGAATTGAAAAAGAAAACTGGTTATTACACAACTAAAACTTTGTTAGAAAGATATGATTCACCAACAAGACTTCCAACAAATCAACAACCAATGTCTCCCGGTCAAAAAAATCCATTAACAACAACGACACCTGGTAGTCTAAAACCTGGTACTCCAAATTCTTTGCGTCAACGCTTACCACCACCACCACCATCATCATTAAACAACAACAACAACAACAACAATGGTGGAATTAATGGTAGTAATAATGATCAACAATTACCTAGATCAACATCATTACCATTAATTAATCAACTTAATAATTCACAAAATCAGCAGCGTTATTGGTATGATAAATTAGTTGATGCAATTGTTGGTGAAGATGAACAAAAATATGCTTTGATTTGTAAGGATTGTTATACTTGGAATGGTTTGGCTTTTGCAGCTGATTACGATGATGTTCAATATTATTGTAAAAACTGTAATCATTTCAATCCATCAAGAAAATCCTTAAGAAACGGTACTGTTTCAGCGCCTACATCATTATCACAATCAGTATCATCATCATTAAGTCAGCCCTCTTTATCTACAAATAACAATTTATTATCATCATCAAATGGTAATCTTGATGCCTCGATTGATTCTTTATCACCAAGGAGAGGTCGATCTACAACACCAAAACAAACAAGTAGAGATTCATCATCAGATCCAGAAAAGTTAAAAGAAAAATATGATGATTATGATGATGACGGTGTTGCTGTTAGTAAAAGATTAGCTTCAAGATCTACAAGTAGGAAAAGAAAAGGTAGCCATCATCGCAGTAGTGCTGAGAATGATGACAATGAAGGCTTTGAAGATAATAGATTTAAGCATTATAATGTTAAAGATGGAATTGATGATAATAATGAATAATGATAATGACTGTATATCATCTATACCTATATCCCTCCTTTTTCTTTCTTTCTTTAATTTTTCAAAACAAATTTATATTTATATTTATTAATGAACAATTTAAATAGTTTTTGAAAAAAAAAAAAATTACAAATAGACTTATTATTATTAATTTATATTATTATTAGTTTTATATATATATATTAGTATTTTCCATAATATTTGAGCAATTGATTGATCAAGAACTTTTTCACATTAGTTTGATTTTCTTTGGCTTACGATCCTTTTATTTGATCCATGAAAAGATAGATAATATTGTATTATAGTATATATCATCAAAGTTAAAGATCATTCAATTACTGTCTGCTATAAATAAAATAATTACATACTAATTCAAAAATCCAAAGTCGATATTAATTTGTTTAATTTCGTGTATGCGCAGTAATTAATTAATACATCAAAATAATTAATATTAACTTTATATTCCAATAAACTGGATTATCAATTCCCCTGTTTCTTTAATTTTCATAATGATTACAGTCTGTTCTATATATATTATAACATAAATTGATGTAGAAAGTCAATTTTTAAAAATCATAAATTATTTATATGTAGATCAAAATTTTTCATCAATCAAGCAAAAATTCTTCCACATGCTGTCTGTTTGTTCTTATTACTAAGATTACTAAGATAATATTCAAGGAGTCCTTTATACCTTTCCTTATCAAAAGAATTATTAAATACAAAAATAATTTCATCATGAACATGGTAAAATTCTCCTTCTTCCACTCTGAAATATTCTTCCATTGAATAATACTATTCCAATATGGATTTCTTTTCGGTATCTTTAAAGTTAAAGCTCCGAATGGTTCTGTTTTCGGTTTGTACCGAATTTTATTGAGAAACAAATATTTTGGCGTATTAGTGTATATGTGTATATCTTGAGCATAATGTTGTTTGACAAAGTGTTATCAAAGTTGTAAAACTATTACGTCAAATTCGCTGCCATTAAGTCAAAAATGACGCAAGTAAAATTGCTTTAAAGGCTAATAAAATATAAAAGCTTACAAAAAAAACTTGTAAATATATATTCCAAGGTCTTTTTTTTTTGTGTATCCCAATCTCTCCTTTGTTATTTCTGAATACATGATCGGGTTAGATAAAATCATCGATTAGGGATTCGGTACTTTATGTTCCAGGATTAAATAACTTTAGTGTATTTATTATCAAATCACAATGTAAATAATTATGGAAGTTTTTATAATATCAATGTTTATTGATTAAGTTATTTTGCAATAATCTCGGCACATTCGGACAGGTATAGAAAGGGGAAGTTGTACAAAATAGGCTTATCCTATTTTACCCCCACCGGGTGGATATTTACCCGGTGATAATCACGGATAATCACGGTGAATGTAGCGAATTTTCCGTCGGAATTTGTCCAGTCTAGGGTTAACCTATTCCACCACGGTCCAGGTAAGTTAGGATAAGCCTTTCGGAAAATTTCCGCATTAGGTGAATAATCTTTATCTTTATCCTTATTGTATTAATCAACGAAATTTCATCAAGGATAACTTCTGGCCCTCGCAGAGGATAATTAACATTCTAATAAAATAAAACTCTGATAGAATCATTATTTTTGTTAAATAAAATTAATCGTTAAAAACAGTGTTTTTATTTTCTTTGTTTGAAGCTCCTTGATGAAAGCAACAAGTGTAGTTGGCACCTTGGTAAAAGGTATCAATCATGGAGCTTTGGTAAAGGCCACGTTTATTTGCTTTAGTGAACAAGCAAGCAAGGTTAGGGTTACTATGAGTGTTAACGACTATTAGTAACATGATTTGCTTTAGTGAGTAAGCAAAGGTTGGGATTAACGTTGGTTACCTGGTGAGTGTTAATGAAGCATCGTCCAAAGGTTAATCGGAAATACCGATAGTGTTACTGTAATTGTAACCATAAGGCTGTTAAACGAGCTACTCAAGTTGTTTTGCAAGTAAACAAAAGTGAGTTTGCAATCGGTCAATAAATGTAAACGAATAAATCGATCACAAGCGAATAAAAAGGAACTTTATAGAAGCCCTTGGTTTTGTAAAAGGCCATATTTATTTATTTATAGTTATCTGGTACCATTAAGTGTGCCCGCAGATTTGTCTAAGTGCAAGAAAGAGGAAACCAAAGTAAATTGTAAACTAATTACCAAATTATTTGTAATTAACTGACAAGAGTAGCCCAAAAGTCAGGCCATAATTGTTAATTAACCGAAATGTTACCACAATTTAACAAGGATCAAAAAGTTTTATTATTTATAATTTAGCTTTAAGAAATAAAATAAAGATAAAATAAAAAGACAAACAATTATAACGAATAATTTATAGTGGAGATTAAATTAGTCATTCATCGATTCTTTCTTTTAATTATTAGAATCAGGTGCAATCCAATGTAAACAAAGAATATCATTAGTAATAATTAATGAATAGTAAGTTCCAATTAATTAATTAAAAATGAAATTTTTATTTACCTTCAACATTCTAGAGGAGAGAGTTAAAATCAAGATTATTCAACGAACTATCATTACTTGTATAAATTTTCAAGCTTTTTGATTTAGCAATCACTTCATCTAATATTCTACTTGTAGGTATGCACCCGGATGTGATTCATGTACTTGTTGCAAATCACTACTACCATCACTACTAATAGTATTATTACTCTTATCATTATTATTTTTAAAAACTTCATTATGTCTATTTCTAGCAAAATCATAAATAAAGCTCTCTACTAGTCGGTCTTTTTGATGGATCCACATCCCAACACCTCTGCATCATTTGTGCATAATCTTCAGGCATTCCAGGCAATAATAATGGTGGTCGTAAACCTTCTGCACATATATCAAAAATTAACAAATGGTGGTGTTCCTTTTCTATGCCTCGGGTTTTCTTGGTAAAAAAGATAAAGGCCCTAATTGATTGGATTTTTGATTGGGCTCTTGATAATCTGATCCTGATTCCGTCGGTTTGATTTCATATTTGGTGTTTTATTGTTTTCAACTTTTCTTCTGACTTATATTATCCATTGTAATTTTGTTACAACAAATATTTCTTCATTATTCTTATTATACGCTATAATAGATTTTCAGGCTTCTACTTTCATCTTGTCTTCTTATTATTATGTGGTCTGGACAATTTTTCCATGTGTGTTCCAAATTCCGAATGTAATAGATGTGGTGATGTTGATTGTTTTTGCATTGAACCCAAATCTTCTCTTACATCCAATCCGGCTTTTAATGGCAATTGTGCATGTGGTTCAAATAATCTTCAAAGATGTAGGTGTGTCAGAATGATGGGATGTGCAGTTATCCAACTACTATTAATAAACTTAATGATGCAAAAATGGTCAATCTAACAAAGTTCATTGTCTTCATTCCGCAAATTGGGCATGTGGAACACTTTGCAACTGCGTTCCTCAGACTGTTGTTATAAAGACATTTACGGCCAAACCTAACCTATTGACACGATTATTCAGTGGTAAGTAATGATTTTGTTCTTTGAGAGATTCCAGATAATTAAATTATAATTTTCTTTCTAGCAGGTGCTTATGTATTACCACAAACTTGAAGGATCAAGAGATTGTTGTCACTCTCCAAGGAACCATTGATGTAGTAAATGTGATCAAGGATGTAGAAGCTTCGCAGGATCTACATCAACTTCTGCACCTTCTGGCTATTATCCTCTTCCACTTGACATTTCTTATGCCCAAGTTCATTATGGTTTTTACTTGAAATAATTTACTATAATATTTGTCTTGATGATTAAATTTTATGTCTAATATCATGCATATAATATTAAATTAACACAATGAGCTATACATCTCACATTAATAATATACTTATCCTTGCTAGTCGGTCCTTCTAGTTTTGGTGATGTTAGCACCATTATCAACAATTGCTGTGATTTTTTTTGTTTAATACATTCAATGATTTTGTTAATTACTTCTGCTAAAAATTCGCCAATATGAGAGACAGAAGAAAAATCTGAAACATAATATAAAAATTCTTCTCTTTCAGGTGTCATTATCGTGAAATTCCATAAATTTGAGCCATTTGGACTCGTCCATCCATCTGTCCCAAGAGTAATATTTGTTGTATTTTATAATATATTATCAAACTTTTGATTCACAATTCCAACTTTACTATCCAAAAATCTACCTGACAACATTTCACGAGAAGGTGAATTATAGCCAGGATTTGATTTTAATAAGTTAACAAAATGGAATTTCACAACAAATAAATACAATAGTCAAAGCTACATCAATTTGTTGTTGACGTGAAGGTTCAATTGATAATAGGAATCAACTTTAGATTGTTAATCATTATTAATTTTTTTATTGTTTGATATAAACTTCGCCCAATCATTGGGGATTTCATATGAATCACCACAAGAGTTGTCATACATATTATTCACAATGATCCAATTATAATATTGCTTAAATATCCTCCACATTTATTGCATTCATTTGCTAAATGGAAATGTAAGACTCCAAGTTTTGCAAATGACTATTTTTTATGACAATGTATACATTTACCTTTTCTTCACCTTGAATGAATCGTCTCCATACACCTGTTTATAGTCATTTTCAGTATTTACAGAACTATAGATACATTTACATATTAAAGATTTGACACTTGGTTGCAAATAGTATGACAACTTGGGTTTCTAGATACAACTTCTGTAAATCTGATTTACAAACAGCATCATTAACTCACTCCATCATCATCAAATAAAATACTCGTGGCATTTTTGTCATCATCATTACCATCAGGATCTAATTCTGGCAACCTTGCCTTTAAATTTCTTTCTCGATTTCTTCATCTGATCTAAAATTTTCATTAACTAGTATCACTGTATCTGGATCATCATCACCTTCATTTGTCTACAAAACGCATTTATATTTTTGGTAATTCTGTTGTAAATGAGATGAGAATATTGCATAAAATAATTAATGGATGACATTTGATGAACCAATGGTTGATGGGGTGCAAACTAAAGTAAACCCAACAGCAGCAGTTGTGGTTTTCCCTACGAAGCCACTTATAACTACTTGGAGGTGTTTCTATATGAGTCATTTACCTAATCAAAAATTCTAGATTTTAGGATGTTCTCGGGTAAAGTTATTTTTGCCCTTATTAATATGTTGTAGATTAATTCAATCAACCATCTTAAACCCAAACATTGCCGAAAATTAGAATTTCTGTTGGTGTTACTGTATCAAAGTTTTGGTATTTTTAAGATTAATAAATTTCAAAAAGATTTTGGAAAGTATCACTAGGATTGATATTGTTCAATATAATGCTGCTTATGGTATTTGTTAAAAATAAATCTTGTCAAATATTATTTTTTCCATTGAAATTTATGAAAAATTGTTGTCTTTTGAGCTCTGTGATAATTATATTAAATACTCTTTCTTTCTTTTTTCCTCTATTACATCAACGTTATTATTGTCAACACGTATCATAAACACCATTAATGTCAACGTTATCATCAACGTTAACATCAATGTGTATCGTCAACATGTTATCATGTTATCAGCAACGTGTATCATCAACACGTTACCATTTTTGTCAATGTGTATCATCAACACGTTATTATCAACGTTATTATTATTAACTAAATTGTGTACTCATACAAGATTGTAGAGAAATCATACTAATAATTCATTATTTCAAGTGTATAGTGAGATCTGTTTTTCATAATTGAAATGCTTTTTATTTTATTTTTAATATATATTTTGTATTTTTTAATATATATTTAATTTTTAATTTATTTTATTATTGGTTTAATAAATTAAAAAACAAAATATAAAAAATTTTTTTTATTAAAAATA